CACCTCACAACGAAGCAATGTCAATAATCTTCAATAATTCCGTTTCCAATTAATTTAAACTTCTGAAACTTTCCCGAAGTGCTTCTACCAACTTTAGATTTCAGAAAACATTAGTTCAGCGTTGTCATAACAACTAAACGCTATTAGATTCTAGGTAAACAAGTCGACGTTTTAATAAATGTTTTACGGATTGATCGTCGATTGTTGATGACGATAAAATACAGATTAAAAGGGAACTGACGTGCGTTTTCACGGAGAACAAAAATAATACTGATCCAGACTACAGATGGTATTCTATACCTATCTACGCCTACGATTTCATGGTGTTTCGTGTTTGTCGACGATTCTGAATGTTTCAGTTACATTGCTTACTGAACACAAATATAGACTACTTTGTGATCACAAAAACAGCAATGTATGGCGAACAATATTTTTATTATACAAATATCGTAGTGAATTATTACAGGAAGAAATAACTATAAAGAGAACATAAATCAGATAACATCGTCCGTCGCACAAAAGCTACAATTCAGCGTTAACTTTTTCTGCGACTTTATACAAGTATCTTGCGAGAGATTGTTGTTCTATTGGACATGCCAGTCTTAAGTAAAATCCTTTTATAAATCATTCTCACTTGAAAATTCGGTATTAATGTAACTTATCTGTTGATTTATTGATTTTATATTCTCATATTAATAAAATGTATGTCAAGCATAGGATAGGTAGTTGAATAAAATATTTTTTTTGTTTCTACATAACTGCTTCATTATTTCTGTGATAGCAAAGTTAGGGTATTAACTAACAGATCTTGTTTTCGATCCCTAGCGGGTAATGCAGTGTTTAAATTTTCTGGTTTTAAAAGCTTATCAAACGAAAAGGTAATAATAGCAACAATATGTTGGGGTTTCGAATATTTATATTTCAGTTATCTGTCTAAAGCTATAACAGGCCTAATATTAGACTTTATACACTTTACCTAACATCAAGTGAATCTGAAGCATTTCTGCCCTCCACTTTAAAAAACCGTTTTATATTTATTATAAACGGTGTAGTTTTCAAACCTTCCTTTAAAAGTTAATTTGCTTAGACACAATTGGGCACAATATGCAAACATCTAACAATGTGAATCGAACCCACGGCCTGTTGATTTTTTGTCACACATTACCAACGAGCTCGTCATATTTGATCGCATGTCAGAGGTCAATACGTAGCCTAAACAATATTGACTTACTTGTTATTTCTATTTACAGACGAAACGACGTAGCACTGTAAATTAATTTGCGAATCAGTAAGAACTATTGCGTTTATTTATTCAACTAATTTTGTGTTTGTGCTGTGCGGTTAAATGGTGATGTTGTTTCAACTCTTTTGGATTGTTTTATATATCAATATCAAAGTATAAGGTCTCTTTTATAAAACAGAGAACACCGTGTAAGTTACAAATCGATAATAAATTGAAAAAATTTACGACTCGAGCAGGACATGAACCGGCATTCACAGCGTTCTGTGCTGTTGCTCCAACCAATTGAGCTACTCGATCCTAAACGTCATTGTCGAACTTTTTCAACCTAAATGCGCCTCTCGCGCAATGTAATGTTTAACCTGTCCAAGTAGTAGTTATTTTAAAAATCGAAAATAAATTGATAAAATTTTCGACTCGGGAAGGACTTGAACCGGCATCGTCAGCGTTCCGTGCTGTTAGTTAAGTTGTTCTTAGTAGTGGTTATTTTTTCAATTTATAATCGATTTTTAATTTATATGTGCAATAACATCTGAAAAATATTTAGGTTTTCAAAAGACTGTATTTTTATGAGCTATGCGGTAAAAAATGGTATATGGTTTAAAAAATTGGCCATTAAAATCACCACTGATAACTGAGACCGACTCAATATAATGACATATATTTGCCATTGGTAATTTAGTTAGTATAGTGAAAGACCGTTTCCCCCTCGTGGGGCATGGGGCAAACACATTTCTGTGTCTATTTCACTGATCCATTCTTAACAGGCAAGTAGTTGATCAGACTTCTGTGCCCTGCCGTTTCCCGGGATTCAAACCCTGAAACCTCTCGGGCTTAACGTAATGATAAGCAATACGTTTAACCATGTGGCTACAGATGCGGGCATAGTAAATTTAGTTAGAAATACTGAATTACGAATAAGTTTTATTTATATATAAACTTAATGTAATGTACGAATTTAAATAAATAAGTGATGTCCGAAGCAAGGGCGCGATGCTACTTGCTATTTCCAAACTATAGCTTAGTACTATTCCACCTAGCCTGGAGTTTAAAAAGTGAACTTGGTTAGTTATCTGCAGTCAAGTATAATATATTTAACTACTTCTTCCTGTTTCTCTGGAAATCAAAGGTTCTGTTACTTGAAATATTAAATTTGTCTCATGCACAGGCTTACATTTTACATACATTTGATTTTTTTAATACTGTAAAGTTGTGGTTACTTTAAACATAGTATTATTTTCCGACACATAAAATTATAATACTGGAAAATTCCCCCCTTGACCACAACTACTGCAACGCATCCAAAACATCGGGTTTTAAGTTTAAATTTTAAAATGTGTTAACTGATATATCACGCGTTTTAGATAAAAGACATATTGAAAGCCAACATTTTATTTTCTCAGTTCCATCGTACACAATTAAAATAATAACTACATATCTTCAGCAATAAGCATAGTTTAACGTAAGTGCATTTCGAAATATTACAATTTATAAACAAAATAAATAGTATATTACTAAGTAATAGAGAATGGTAAATATATAAGGTACACACATAATATCGGCGTGATTACAAAATCTATTATACAAAATATCTAGGACATCTTCTTATTTATTCCTGTCAGTTCATGCAAACGGTGGACCAAAAATATTTGTACATTATATATGATTACAGACATTTAAAAATCGAAAATAAATTGAACAAGCAACAGCACAGACCACTGATGATGCCGGTTCAAGGCTTGCCCGGGTCAAAAAGTTTTTCAAATTGTTTTTATCTTTAAATTATATAGTGCCATCATGTGCAAATAACATGTGAAAAATATTAAAGTTTTCAAACATTACAGACACATGTTAGAGTAATTAACGTAGGACACAATATTTACTTTATCCTAACCGCAGGCAAGTAAAGTTTATGTTAGCAAGAAACTCTGATGAGCTAGGTGGTACATATTTGTAATGATTCTAAATAATGTTGATAAATTAATATCTCCTACCGTTTATTTCGTTAAAAAATCTATAAGAAATGTGTAAGCCAAAATTACTTTTCAGAAAATTTTTTACAATACATTTTGGAAAGATATCTAAGAGTGAATCTGTAGTTTACCAGTTGTTACATTTTGAACGGGTTAAAACACGAACTTTACCTATTTAACTATTCAAATGATTATCAGCGAACTACAATTGCTCGGGTCATAATAAAATTCCATCAACAAATATATTTCGCGTTTCCAACTGTTTTTTACAAAATATATTCTGGTTGACTACAGTTTTGGACCACCTCATAATATATTGGGACGAAGGAGAGTTATATTTAATAGGAATATACATTAAGCTCTTAATAATATGGCAAATGTATGGCATATTTATTATTGTCATTATGTTCGTTAGTTAAAGCTTGTCGTATTTTTAATAAACTTAGAACTACGTATGAATTTTTGATATTTAACAAGCAAACGGCCAAAAGATTTTAAAGACAATTGTTAGAAAATACAGCAAAATTCAAACAGCTACAAACACCTACTTATAGGAACGAAACTTCAGTTCAACAGTTAGTATTATTAAAATACAGAGTAAACTCCACATAACTTCACTCGATTGCTCTAAAAACTCATTAAAGCACGCACACTCGGCTTTGGTTGATTTAGATTACAACGATACATAACTTTCCCACCACAGTAGGCTCTAGAGATAATAATAATACTAATTCTTTTTACTAAGAATTTATATAAATCAAAAGACCACATGTAAAAGCATTAAATATGGTATATATGTAATTACTAACAGTATTTAAATTACATTTTCTATTTTTCTATTACAGCTCCACAAAATGCGCTCGCGAGTGTCGTTATATAGAGATTACTGTTTTATTTAAAAGGTCAAAAGTCCTAAGAGCTTTTCCGACGTCAATCATAAAATACTCTTAATAATTTACTCGAAGAAATTGCCTCGAACGACTGCCGCTCATTGAAAAGCTTTCAAGAGATCCGGCACTCACAAACAATATACATAGGCACCTAATATTCACTAGGAAACGATTTCCGCTTAACTTTTAGTCATAATACATCTACAAATACATTTATATCGATTAAACACATTAGCCCTTGAAAAGGACGAAGGCATACATACGTCGTTAGGAACACCTAATACTTTATCCTTACCGTAATTAAATAAATAAGGTTAATCTTACACACTGTAGAGAGAAAAAATAAATAAAGCTATCAATTCATAGACGATAATAAAACGAATGCCGTACAATAAATTACTATCAATAGATTTATGTAAGCATTCGTTTATGTCGAATTTTAAATAGTCAACTAGCCTATATAACAATAAATAAAATCTTAAGGCACTGCTTTAGGTACCAAGATCACAATTTAAACAAACGTCGTTTATTATCTAGTACACGTCAGATAAAGGCCATGGAATGTCTGGTTACAAACGAAAATTGAATACTGTTTTGCGTCGAGAAAGACCTAACATGTTACAGGTGATAAATTATATAATCTAACAAGGTATCTACAGAACTAAATTAACACATAAGCGCATACAGATAATTACTTCCGCATTATGCAGAATAACAATACCGACCCAATTTACAAATACCTAAGCTAACTACACAATATAGATTCCGAGGTCTACCTAATAAATATACCGATGGTAAATGTCGTTGCGTTCAAATTCGGGTATTTACAGTTATGGATTATGTACAGGTTTTATTTACAGGCGTTGGCGCGTCCGGCGCGCAAAACATGGGGGTGGCTTAGCGGTATCTATAAGAGGACGGAAGGACGAAATCGCCGATGTTGTATAGTGCGTTGGCGTACCAATGTACGCCCTTGGACACATCGTTGGAATGGCTCCACTTGGACATCCACCTCAGTGGAGCCATGGCTGCGTGGGCTAAATAATGACTGTTTACTATCGCGTAGCAAGACGCCAGAGCATCATCCACGATGATAGTCCCCGTTTTGGTAAGCGGGGCGTAAACACCTTTTTTGCGGACTGTACGGGTCTTGACAACCCTCGATGGCCGCATCACAGCTCCTTGGCCTCTTGTTAGGAGGACGTCGCCTATCTCGATGTTGGTAGCGAAAACTTCCCGCCATCCGTCTGCCGCTGCTAACAGCAGGAGATGGGATGGTGTAGTGGTTATGGCGACTCCGTTCTCGGCGGTCACCTCGATGAAACTTCTTGTCGCGTTTGGGTCTCGGTCGATGAATGTTAGAACCTGGAATGATTAGAAATTACATTAGTTGAGGGGCTCGTTGGTGTAATGGTAGCAACGTATAGCTTTTTGGACTTTGTCTGGAATTCTGGATATTAAGTGGGTGGTAGGAATTATCGTAAACTCCGTCCGGGTCACGACCGTCTCGATATGAAAAAGTGTGTCTTTGGATTTCCGAATATCCAAATCCAAAGTAGTAGAAAACGCTTCTTATTTGGGATATTTCACCTACCATCGAGTGAACCGCATACTTGTCTGTCCTCTTCTATCATAAGAAAGTTAGAGTTAAACTTTTTTAATACTTGTCGCGTAGTATATATTTGAAGGAAGCAATGACAACTTGACAGGTAATAATATCAGAATATATATTGATTTTGAAAGCAACAACTACTAAATCTACACATGAAAGGTATCTTCTATTGATTTTAGAAATTTCAAATAAGTGTAAGCTGACACAATATGTATTGTATAAAAAACTAAAATCACTACAGCTTATCGTAGACTTTAATACAATGGATACATTTTTAATCTTATTTAAAACTCACCTCTGAGTATACTGCTTTGCCTGTATCATCAGCGGCAAGAACTCTGTCTCCCAGCTGCAAGGTGCTAATATCTTTCGGGCCGGCTTCTGTATGCACAATTGCTCCAGATGGGAAGCATCCAGCACCTGTTCCAACTGACGATTCTGTAATGTGAATAAATAAATTGTATTATCTGCGTCGAAAATAGTCCAAAAAGTAGTTTTTAGCAAATATTTATAGTATGAATTTATTTATTAATGTCGACATCAAGTTGAATTTCAACGTACATTGCATTTATTTATGTAAACACAAGTGTTTGTTTTTTAAGTACTTATACGTGTGTATTAACAATTTGTAATAATAATAGTATTTATTGTAATGGTACTTTATTTATGATTTGAATAGTCAAAAAACCTACGCCTACTAAATAGTACAATCAATTCTATGCAGGTTCAACCAGATTTATCATCAAAACTGCACTAAAAGTAATAAAAATAAAATAATAAAACCAAAGCAATTTTAACTCTGCACATTCATACATATCCCTTTAAGGAATAACGAGATTTCTCTACGCCCGTAATTAAAATCCGATAAGATACAAAACAAAAGACCCTTTCATTTCCAAGCCGAGGGTTATCGTGGCTAAAATGCAGTTTGTATATACAGGTACTTCTTTTGTGTTAAACCGAGATCCAACTAACGAACGCGGATTATCACCGAGTCCTGGCTCACACGAAAGCCTTTCACGGAAATATTACTGGCCCTAAACAAATTTCGAACGCTAAAAAATCGAATCCGTTTTCCCTAATCTCCGCTTTTGTTTGTTAAAAAGCTAACGCTCGGGATATCGCAAAAATAACAATTTAATTTCCTTTAACTTAACGTATTTAAGGCTTACAGCTTAAACTGTACCTGCTTAATCCACAAAAAGTGTATATTTACGTGCAAATAAATAGCATCAAGGATAAGGCGAAACGGGACGAAACGGCCTCAATGGGGCTCCATTCGACCAGTTGCCACAGTCTTGCCATCCACAAAAATACAGCAATTACACGGTAAAACGCACAGTGGCGGTGGATTATCGCAAAGGTAATGGCATTTTGCGCGAGCTCGTTAAATTTTGATTTGTTGTGTAACCGAGCGATAAATTCGGGCGATCCTTGTCGACGGCGGCTCTTACGGTGTCGCGTTACACAATAACCGCACAAATTAGATTTCGTTTAAAGTCAAACTATTGTCGAGAGTTGGGCGAACATATCGGGCGCGTCAATAAAAGGTGCCGGTCACCTTACCTTTTTTATACATAGATGTGCTTTGTTGGCAGATAACTTTCGTAATCCTTAACAATTATGTGAAATCGCGCTGCCTCGTTGGTCAAATAGTTTCTTACTCAGCTTTTCACGAGTTTGTTCGTATTTGGGATTATTTTAAGGAGATTTTTATCACCAGGATGTGTAGGAGAGTACGAGAAAGTTTAAAAAGCCAGCCAGCCCGTTATGGGGGGGGGGGAAATAGCGGACGACAGACAAGCATAGAGTTCTATTAATGGACCTATCATGGAATACCCTAATCATATGTGGCTTTTTTATCTATGGGTGGTGGTTTGTGACCCGTATGGAATTTCGATATTCCTACTATTTTATATCCAGATTCCCAGACGAAGTCCACCGTGTTTCAGAAAATATAAATTGATTAAAAACATGTTGGACCCCGGGAAGAGCGAACCCAGGACCCGGTGATTATAAAGCATATATACATTACACCAACAAGCCTATCAAAAGTCTAAGTATCAATCCATCCCTTCTATGAAGACCTGGACCCAGCGGTAGGACTTTGATAGGTCTGGAATAGCATCATTTCATTTGTTTCATTTCATTCGCTATGTCCCAGTTTGTCAATATCATTTATTTAAATTTCTAGTTAGATTACCTATCTGTCAAATCCGTAAAAGATAATACGATCTAGATTAAGTCTTTACACTTAGGACTTAGGATTTGAAAACACAAAGGAGAATTTATTATTGTAATAAATAATAATGTCAGATTCGAAATTTAAAATAAAACAATGTCAGTCAGATAGAGTTAACATAATTCTCATAATTTCCTTATTATTGACAAAGTTCTAAGAAAATTTGTGATATGTAGTCAAATTTTAAACTTCCTCCTTTTCATAATCGGTTAAGGAATCCTAAAAGCATTACAGTGGCGTGACACAAGTTAGGCTGAAGATGGTGCGATAAACGCGGGAGCAAGGCTCGCGGGGCGGAGGGGGCGAGCGCTCCGAGTGGCCGCGGCGACCCCGCCCCGCGCAGACCACCGGGAGAGCTAGGCGGCGCCCGCGCACACACGTGACCACTCCTCGACATCACATCTTATCCCAAGAGATTTTTAATCAACGCCGAAACGAGACATTACGATTTTCGAGTGTTCATTAATACAAACATTAAAGATATACCTATATAGAATTGTATTATAGCAGATCATAAATATGTAGGTATATGAATTACTAGCTGTGGCCGCTTCGTTCTCGTAGGATATATATAGTATCCCTATAAAGCCTACGTCAACAAACGCTTGAATTTTTGAATTCGAATCAGTAGTCCCTGAGATTAACGCGTCCAATCAAACAAACAAACTCGTCAACTTTATAATATAAGATTCGTATTCTGGTAATGTTTTACGAAGATAAAAATTTACTGGACTGATTTTCACGAAATTGTATGCGAAGATAGGCGAGATCCAGCGGTACACACGCTGTAAACTTTTTTTTATATTAACCTAAGTATACATAACTTATTTACAAATGTTTTGAACTAACATTAATAAATACCTACTTGCCTAAACCTTCGACTACCTACATATTAACCAATCTTTTACTGGCTTACCTTAAATTATTACACCGACAATGTACCTTTTATCGAGTGTTTCAATAATTTAAGTCAAGATAAATTGTTTCTTCGTTTCAAGATATTAATTCCCATACAACAATGTTCGACAGCCCGAAGCGCTTGTATGATGAGCGCTGGAACTATACAAGTATGTATGATTTATACGACCCGGCAATTAGCGTATAGTGAATATATACACTTATCCTCTTGAATTATTTAAACGTACTTAATATAAAGACTAAGCTAATAAGCTTTACGCTAATACACATACATATCTAGGTATCATTCAGTGTATTTTAGAATTGAATTTTTCCTTTTAACGCAGGCTCGAACACCCGACCTTACTCAGGAAAACTTTTAACGGTTTGTGAAATATGTCATATAACTTATTTTTAATTTAAACTACAAACGAACGTACGACGGCTGCTGCGAAACATTCTAGACGTAAAGAATGTTGAATTTAAATGTGTACTACTCGCGTAAAATACGGACATTATTTGTTGTTTATTTATTTATTATATATTATAGGCCAATATTAGATATTTTGTTAAAGAAAAACTTTAATAAATATGCACTAACTGCCACACTAACCTGTACGGTTTAAAATTATTTATCTCATCGCAAATAAATTATACAGAACCTGTTCAATATATCTGTGTTACACAAAGAATGTCTCTATAACCGATTCTTTTATATGCCGCATCACAGATCATATATCCACCATAAATCGTGAAGATAATACTAGTTTACAGAGAATAAACATTCCCCTTCAAATATGAACTGTTTTATATCACAGATTATCATAACTCACTGAGTTATTGCAGTGGAGTTATGACATTGAATAATATAGTGGACGATTCATTTAACGCCGATAGTAGAAAATTGAGTGAGGATTTTATATGAATTTAATGGAAATTGCTCTTGCCATAATCAGCAGCATCTCGGTCAGTTTATAGTGCGTTGAACTCCGTTGTTATGGCTTCCTTGAGGCTTCGAGGGAATTTCAACATCGCTTTAACGATCACACGTTATCATTTGATATTTGAAAATGGAATTTTCTCTCTATGGACTACGTGAATGAGATCGTTGAGTGAACGAAAATGTGAATGAAGCGAAAAAAGTGAATGAAATATGTGATAGTGTGGGAACGGGCGACGGTGCGGCCGCAGCCTTCCGGGATGTGGTGTCAAGTGTCGCGCTCGTTCGACCGTGTGTCGTGCAATTGCAACGAAATTCACTGCTGAGGCAAATTAACAGTGCATTAATTAGAATTTAATTAGTACTAAGCCACTATTTGTTTAGAGATCGATAAATATTGTGTTACACCATTGGGTTACACTTTGCTTGCTTCCGTGATTAGTTTCCTCTCTTATTTTAAATAAAAAAACTTATTTGATTTTTTTTAACTACGGCCCGGCATTTTGGATGCTTCACAGCAGCCGTCGTCACTTTAGTATATTAAAGTGTTTTATTTATCTACTCCTCGCATAAACTGACAATATTTAGTTTCCATTCTTATTTTAAATCATGCAATCAATGTTATCCAAAAGCAACTGAATATTGTATTTTGTAGGCTGTCCGAACAATCATTCTATCAGGTTTCCCGGGGATTTGAACCCCGTATCACATTTGACTATATATAATTATAGGGAACATATTGTTGTGTCCGCGCCACTTATTATTTTTATTTTCAGTTGACCAAATTGTCTGTCCCTGTCCTACCGAAAAAGAATATCTTTTATCCAGGATTCCTGCCCATGACACCTTGTGCAACAATGCTAACGTGTTACTATAAAGCCACAGAGGCAGTTATCACGATGTATGCAACACTTTTATGCAAATTCTCGAATACATATTTTGAAATTTGGGAGCAATAAAAACCTATTAAAATTCTTAAGAGAAGAGATGATTCACGCCGCACCGCGAGTTGCTTACAAAACGTTCACGCATTAGTCAGATGGTTTTTTCGCATTAATTGATTCCTGGGTAAGCGATTAGCGTCTAGAAGTCGGTTCGTCCTTCACGTCGGTCGTCTCGACTCGTGACCTGCCTTGCTTGGTCACGCCCCATTTACACCTCCTTTATGATCAACTAACATTAATGGTCATCAAATTATTCTTCCTAGAACCCCATTTTGTTAAGAGGTATACACGCGTGTTCGACTTATTTTTGCAAACCTTTGTAAATATGTTTAATGCTTGGGAACTAAAGTGTGAGAAATACTTTGTATTGGTTGAAGTCATTTGATTTCCAGCGTATGTTTAGGGCGAGCGCGTTGATGTCTTTTATACGCGCACTGTGTGCGACGTCATTAGCAACTTTACGAGTATTAAGTACATGAACCATAACCTTAGTTAACACCTTTATTTATAGTCTTTAAGTAGACGTAGAGTAATATGTTTGTTAGGATTATATAATACAAAGTGGCTATTACATAACCTTTTATTATAATTAGCAATAAAACGTCTTGTTGTGATTTAAAATTTGCAAATTGTGTATATACAGTTCTTTGTTTATCTGTTACATTTTTAAAAAAATCAATTATGACAAGATTTCATCAGCATAAAGATTGTATGCATAAATAAATAAATTAAATGAATGCTATATGTTTATAAAACTTGACGGGTAATGTACAGTCACCCGTGACCACGGCTGCTGCAAAGCATCCGAAACGTCGGGCCGAAGTTAAAAATCATTTTCAAATAAGTTTAACTAATATATCGCGTTTTAAACCGTTAAAGTGTTTTATTTAAATGGGTAATGTACGGCTAATAATTAACGGGTCCTGGGTTCAATTCTCACCGGGTCCAACATTTTTCTAATAAATTTATAATTTGGCATATGTCGAAATTCCGTCCGAGTCACGAACCACAGATGAAAAAGCCGTCAAGTTTAATCATGTTTCGGTGTTAGTCTGTGGATTTCCGAAAAAGCTAAAATAGTTCGACAGAGCATCAGATGTTATATGGCAGGGGTGCTTCACATACCATCAAGTAAAGTGCTTGCTCATCCTCTATTTAAAAAAGCGTTCTTATAGAATTAAATACAAAATACAGCCAATGAAGATCAATTAATTGCGCGCGTAATAAAAAATGTGTATATTTTATTGGCGGCCGGTTGGTGTGGTACTTCACGAGCGCACGTCACGCTCGTGGGACTGGTTCACTGATCATGCGCATTATACGCCTCCTCTAGACCTGCATTGACGTTATCTCGGCTCACGACACCTTTTTATTTTCAACTACTTTGTAAATATATGGAATTATTCTTTGTTTTATTAAGTTATTTTAAAAACTTTATTCTTTTTACACATTATATTAAATAAAAAACTCGTTTGATAATATTCGGTGACACTTGCACTTAAAACTTCCACAACAATCCATGCTTCTCTAACCAATTAAGCTATTGTGGTTCAATTTCTCTAATCCATCGGTATATGCACACCTCACGCAGTGTAATTTTAAACTTTACATGCCTTATAGAAATTGTCTGTGTTGCATTTAATAAACACTAAGGTAGTTTTCGTGGATAGTTTGTATCAAATAGCAACAACCACGAAGTTCCTAAAACTTTACTGTATCATTTTCAACCAAATTAGAACCAAAGTTAAAAAAAAAAAAAAACACTAAGGTAAAACTTGCTGGTTTTGATTGATACACGTTTTCTAGATAATTTGAAATAGTATCAAACTACAATTTTAAAATTGTAAGTATTAAATAAGTACCAAAAGTATATTATTAATCGGAACTAAGCTAAAATATAAATATATATTTTATATCTACGCAAAATTCTAGCTCAAGCGTCCTTTGGAACAAAATGAAGGTCTTTAATATGTGTTTTAGAAGTAATTCGTATAAGAAGCGAGTATCAATAAAAAGAACTCGTGAATTGAGGTCAAGTTAAATAGTAGCATAGTAAGCGCTTCTAGCACGAGAATAGCAGGTAGTAAAAATAGAAGGAAAGTTCGTGATCGTTGTGTCCTTGACCCCAACTGGCCGGGGAGCCTCCGCCACAGATACGCATTAATTATGTATAAAGTCCAAATTAATAAAAATCACCTCACGAGTCAACGCTCTTATACATTCTTCTAAATATATAAAACAAAAGGCGATCGCTTTAAACGATGTGTAATAAAATCTTTACTTATATGCTTAATTAGTCATGCTTCAAATTTGAATTAATATCGAACGTCGCAACTGGCTTTATCCAATTAGTTAAGGTTTGGAATATAACAAATTAATAGCTATGATGCACAAACTATTCGATACCTACTCATCTATATAAAACAGGTCAGTATTAGGACAAGATATATGAATATGGGCAATTTTAGTAACAGGAAATTACTCAACAAACAAATGTTTCATTTCAATTGATCGCACGCGCACTGTTTATTAATTCAATAACCAAATGTTAGATTGTTGACCCAGGATGTTTAAAGCGCCACATTGCTTTTATCTAACGTATACATAAATAGTTTCTCATCGTTATGTTTCATATACTTATAACCTCTATAGAAGCCATTGAATCACCGGCATAATTATAGAAGTGGGGGATTGGCTGCGATGCGGCTGCGCGAGACGAGAACGTGAATAGGATTTTTTTGAAGGTGCGACAGGGAGGGTGCGTTAACAAGAGGCTTGTTCGTTCGTTTGATCGACACCGCCTGAGAGCGGGCGCGGGAAGCTGTCTCGGATGCATTCTTCTTATGAAGCTCAACTATATATTTGGCCCGTGGGATTTGACCGTTGTTGCCACATTTATGTACTTACACGGCGTTGAAGCATTGTTTTATCTTTAAATGATCATTGTGTAAAGTATTTTAAGAGTCTCATTTTCCCACTACAAACCTATTTTAAAATAAAAATGCCCGTTTCAGGACAGTTTTTCAGAAATTACAAATATTGTGTTTTTTTTCTGAAAGTCACTTGATTCCGTTATACGCGTCACGCAAGTGAATTTGTATTTCGAATAACATTTTACAAATACTCGTCAGTTTTTCGAATAAAGCATACTCGTCTGATCACAAATCGTTATTCTCTAATAATAATAAGCTATGCGAGATGCATAATTCAATGTACAAACCTGTCTTAACAGAACAATGTATGTAAGATCGGCTCTCGTAGAACACCCAGTCGAAGCCAGCTTCGACCGCTAGTCTCGCGAGCATGCCGTATTTACTTCTATCTCGGTCGCTGGTCGTGAGGTCTACCGCTCTACCTTCGTAGTGCAGTGAATTGTCGACGTGGGAGTTTTCTTCATCCCAACCCTCGATTACTCGCAGGCGTACACCTGGCCATTGATTCATCACACTGATGGCCAGGGTGTTCAATTTCTCCTTGCAGCGCTGGAAATTGAAACTTATTGGTTTATTTCTATCACCGAATGGTTAGGTAGCTTTTACTAGTAAGAACAGCAGTTTTATATGCTGGTACTTTGTTAGTTGATTAATCTATCACAACAGCGATAACACAGAAGTTAAGCGAAAAGATATATGAATTTGAGAGAAGGGCAGAAGAAGACTGTCCTACCTTACCTACCTATATAATATAAAAAATAATTTCGCTTTTATTCGTTTTCTAACGTTGCAGAATGCGAAAAATTAATGCCAGACAAATGTGCTTGTGAACAAAAGACACTAAGTAAGCTTATACTAGCGTAAAGTTAAACTTAAGGATGAAATTAAAAATGAGGCATAAATGAAAGTAAAAAATGTGTCAAAGGAAACGTAATAATATCAAAAAACAACCCACAGCCATTAAGAAATGTTTTCCAATTCCTTGAAATTTCACGGTCGGAACACATCGCAAGCTGTTAATAAATATTTGCGGAGTAATTCGCAATAAATAAAAGCTCTTCAAGTATGCTTTACTCCTAATGGAACGGAGAAAAACAATTCGAACCTATAAAGACACGCGAAGGCTTTTGTTTGCGCTAAAGAAAATACCAATAGACGTGCTAACAAATTGACAAACGTCGCCGCCCGAGACGGATCGCGCAGGATGTCAGACATTTTGTCGTGAAGAAATAAATCAAATTAAAACGCGCCGCACAAAGGGATCGACACGATCCCGTTCGTGAAATATCTCCGAGGGACAAATGGGGAGAATGTCAAAATATTTGTAAAGAAACGCGAACAATGCGCTTGCACCGCACGCTAGCTTTGTGCGCGGATGTCAACTCACTCTATGCAGATTTCATAGTGAAAAAAGCTAAGATTGACGTAACGAATCGGTGCGATGGGCGCCCCGCTTGGCGGCCTCGACTATCGCATTCAACATACAAATATATCGAGCACCGTATATAATTATTTCTAAGAATCTTTCAAACATCCAACCACCTACTAAATAGTTGTGAAAACTACAAATAATTAAGAACACAGGCTATCGAGTTGAATTGTATATTAAAGATATAGGCAAAAGCCTTGAATTATAACCTCAAACACACAACACTCCGTTATAGCACTAAAAAGCCTTCGTCATCTAAATACCTACCGAGTTGGATCTGATTTAAATAGAATATGGTGATTATGATATTGATTTAAATAATCCAGTCACACTAGTATCGAATCGGATGAATCGAAAACACAGCGGCGTTCGGTTATTTGTGGGATGCTCAATGTTTACCCGACAGACGTCTCAGGCCGCACTAAAACAATCGAATGCTAAATGTATTCTCAAACATTGCGTGCATTTTAACGTGGGAACACTACTGTGGCGCAATTAGTCTCTCACACTCTAACTCTTGAGCTCACTGATTAAGATTTGGGGAAATTTCCAAGACGACCGCGTCCCTTCGACAACGATCATATTGATCCACACTATCTACGCACTTTGGTATTGAATATAAGAATTAGTTATCTAGATCAGTCTAGATAACTAATTCTTATATTTAATAAACTACAGACAAGACCAGTCTTGTCTGTAGTTTTTACTAGTTATAGCAGCTGCCATCATGACCAATGGCTGCTGCAAAGCATCCGCAACGTCTAACTAATATAATATGCATTGTAATCCGTTTAAATTGTTTTATTTAACTACTTCTAGACTATTGCCAGAAACGTGTCTTTAGGTTAAGTGGATTTTCAATCCGCACAGCCCGTAGAACTGAATATGCTGAGTTTAATTTGAATTTGTCTTATTAAACTAAATTATCTAAGTGTTGTATAACATACAATTGATCTTATCTTACTTTTTATATATAAGTATTTTCATAGAATTGTATGGTAAAAATACCTACTTTGCTTTGAGTATGTTTCCTGAATGTTAAATGAATAATTTCAAGCAAGAAAGGCGTTCGAACAAGTTCGTCTTTACAGCCGAGAAGTATACAGTAAAGTTATTACAAACGGTATAGAGTAGATATGTCATGCGCTATAAGTTCAATGAGTAGACGAGACGTGCCTGGCGGGCTATTATAAATTCATTATGCATATTTTTAGTAAACAAGCTGTCGATCACAATGCCTGCTCACAGCGGGTTGCCAGCCTCTGACACCTCGCCCTCTTAGAACTACCCTCAGAGCGAAGACTTTCAACTGATATCAATAGATTTTAAATTATCATTATGAATTTGATATAGGTAAATAAAAAGTGATATATATGTGACAACGTCGGTGCATTTAAAATGTTGGAGTTGCTGCCTGAATAAAGTACCAACTTACATAGTGAATATTTACATATTGACAAAAATAAAAATCTCAATTAAAATCATATCACGATAAAAAAAACTAGATCTCTAAAAAACGGCATACCGAGAAATACCGCAAGTCAGTTTTGTAAGGTTAGCTAGTTTGTCCAAATACTAACGACGAAATAGATGGCGCTAGCATAGCAAATTTAACTTTGTCATTAGGAACAACCTTCATGTTCAGCTCCCCGTGACCATGGCTGTTACAAAGCCTCCTATGTTATATTTAAATTCTTATAAAAAATTAACAAATTTATATTGTTTTCTTTTTTATATTTATAATTAAAGCAGGCGTATCATATACCTAAGGTCACGTTTGAAGCGATACAGGCTACCTGAACCGGTGGTCAACTCTCGGACGCATAATGAAGGCCGTCCGATGGAATTGACGCGAAAATCGAATAAAAAATCACCAGGAGCAACGCACTATAGGTGTAGTGGCTTGGAGAGTGGCTCGTGAACAACGCTAAAACCACATCAACTATTGTTCATTTAAATTGAATAGGAACGTAAGCAACATTTTTTATAAAAATTAAACAATATCGTAGTTTAAAAATAATATTCAATCTTGAATTAACGACGGTTTTCTGAAATAAATATAAGTTCTAAAACAGTACCTCTATAATAGTCCCTGATTAATTGCACAGTGAATTTTGCATAACGCAAGAAAACAAAAAATATATTTTAGATGAAGCATAGCATTCTTAATCTTTGGTCTAAAAATTTACCAGTTAACAACACTAATAAATAAACTTACAATATTCAAATAGCGAATTAAAAATGTCTGTTTCCTGCTAAAATATTTATATACCTACTTAAGTAACGTAGTATCGTGTCTATTTTATTTACAATTTAGGTACACTTAACAACCGCTCCCACCGAGGCCATAACAATATATTAAGATAATTAAACGGCTTTTTACATTCCTTAACACGCCGTTTTTTGTATAAGGGTAGCAGTCGAAAAACATCGACCAATAGTGACTGGTTTAGGTTTTTTTTACCTTTTGGACACAACAACAAATAGTTCAGGGTTCGTTTTATAGCAACCGTTAATTTGTTTTTAAGTTATCGTTCACTCGACGCTTAAGCTAAAGAAAATAATTTCAACAAATTTTAACTAAAAGCTCGATAAAACTAGTCTCTACTATATTATATGTTACAATTACTTTATATTATGAAATAAAAAGAGTTTTGAATAGGTCTTACTGCACTACGTATCTGTGATCTATAATTTAATTTAGATTTTAATCGTTAAGAAAACCTCGCACAACTTAATTACTAAAACTGTTATACAATTAAAAATCTATTCAGAATGGTAAAGCCAAATTAAGAAAAAGAAGAAAAAGTACATAAAACAGCGTTTTAAAGTCTTTACTTGTCTTTACATGAAACAAAGACCATTTTATAATAGAAGTGATAATGAAGCTTCCTCAATAGAACCTCTACATCCATTACCAATAGCTTACTTATACAGATATGCTGTTCAAATGTTTGTCTGTCAATATGTCCTAGTGTCACACTACTTGTCGAACAGCGTCATACATATGCATCAGTTAGGATCAGCTGTGTATTTACGTTTAATGCCCTTCTATGTTTGTTCTCAGAAAATAACCCTATTTGTTACACGGTTGTGCTTCCCGAATCTAACGTTCCAATGCAATGTTTACGTAACAATGTAACAATTGGTCTGTTCCAATTGTTTAATTAGCTATTCAATATAAACGAAGCGCTAATTTTGGCGGTAGTTATATTTTCTTTTAATTGTGTACATGTATCATTATACATTTTGAAGTTGTAGAGCCGACAAAATATTATAGAAAGTACTTTTATTTAAATATTTGTTCTCAATAAATTTTACAAGGATTAGAAGAACTATTACTACAGTACTAAAAATCAAAAAAATTGGCATTATCTATACTAATACCATAAAGCTGAAGAGGTTTTTTGTTTCTTTAAACGCGCTTATCTCAGGAACTACTGGTTCGAATTGCTAATGTTGTATTGCTTGGACCGCTTATCGAGGCTTTCAGCTATAAAACGTCACAATGAAAATGTGGAAAAACGGAAAACATTATTCATTTTAGAGGGATGAAAAAATGCGTGTGCTGCAAGAACGACTCAAGAAATCAAAAAATATGTATGAAAGAATAATTTTTGGACGGAGGCGCAGGCACAGTAAGCTCATTATAAAATTAGAAATAATTACTAAGTAAAATATAAACGACGATAGGTATTCAACTATAGATAACAATAAAGAAATACATTCTTCTCATAAAGTTTCTGCTATGGGTGAATACCCATGTATATGAATATTACTCTGCTATATTTAATTCCAACAAGTGTGCAGTTCAAAAAAGAGAAAATATGCCGGTTTTACTTCTTTCTTACTCAATCTCACTTAATGAAATGTTTCATTCAATTCCAATGTCCTCCAATGGCGTTTGTTCAGCTTTATAATTATATGCTATGCACATATGTTGTAATAGTAAAGTTTCAGCTGAGCAAACTTAAGCTGTGAGTATTAAGATGACCTGCACGGTGCGTTTTTGTTTAGGGCCGTGTGCCCTGGCCGTGTGTGATTGATTTTGTAACACAATCGAATCGCCTGGTACACAAAACTTTAGATCTTGTAAAACTAGACATACAAACAATTCATA